TGTATAGTGGAAGTATGATAACATTTTAGTAATTTATTAAACTGCCAGGCTGTCCAAATTGTATACAACCAAGGAAAGCCTTAGATATCCTGCATAGAGAACTGGCAACTGAAAGCAACTTTGTGAACTCTCCTGGGGGTGTTTGGGTTCTGACCGGAGAGTAGAGAACAGATGAGATTGTCTTCAGGGCAAAAGAGACTTATGTTGGCAGATAGAGATCTGAGGATGGAGTTTGAATTACTGCCAACAGGTCTGCAACAGGTCAACAGGTCTCCAGTAGACAGGCACAAGTTTGTTCTACAAAAAGGGTTGAATCTTCTCCCCAGTATTGCAAAGGGCAAGACACTGAAATGGCTGACAATGTCAGGATCTAATATACCCTGTTCCAAATGAAGAGCTCTATCAAGCTCCCACTGCTGCACTGGGAATCCCTAAGGGCAGAAGGGCAGAACGTGAGAAATCAGACTGAAATAAGTCATGCTGGATCCTGACTTTCCCAGAAGAGACAGTCATCAAGAAGGATCATGGTAGCCAATTACTAGAAAAATAAATTTTATGCCAGAAATACAGCTGCAGTAAACGGGTCCTGAAAACCAAGGGGATTAATCCAGTTTCTGAGTTACACGCTACATTTGAAACGCAGGACATTCCTTCAAATATCACTTTTAAAAATCTGGATGGTGCCGTTTCTATGATTTTAGATTGTTGAAGGTGTCAAAAGAATAATTTGGAGTTTCAACTCAAGCCGGGGTAGCACAAGAGTAAATAAAAATGAAATCAAGATAGCTGTGAGGAAAGAAGTATTTATTTCCAAAAGCAAGGAGGTTTGCCTTGGGGGCAACTGCAGAAAAATGGGATATAGCGAGATTGTTTTATAAGGGAGCTTATCCTGAGTATGGAAGTGCATACATGCTGATCTAGGGTGACATTTGAGAAGCATGGTAAAGTTCTTTTTTAATTTACTGTATTTTCTGTTTACAGACCTTCTCCTTTGATATGTGGATTAGGTCTGGATAAGTTATTTGGGAGTTTGAGGAGATTTGAGTAAAATATTTTCCCCCATTTGCTATTTTTACTTGCTAACTTAGTTTCACCTTGACTGTCAATTATCTAGAAAAGAAGCTGATTCTCAGTCCATTGTGGATTCCGTAAAAGTTTAAGGAAGATGGAGATAGTATAAGGAATAAAATACAGTGTTTCCTCAAGAATACAACCTACCCTGAAAACAAGCCCTAGCCCAATTTTCACACTTGGGTCTGATATAAGCCCTGCCCCCAAATAAGCCCTAATTAAGCCCCACCCACTGTCTGGTTGTATGAGGTGGGGCATAGTGCATGCGTAAAAATCAAGCTAGGGTAGGGGTAGGAGGGTGGAGCTTCCCACTGCAACCAGGCCTCCCATGCTCTGACACCTGTTGTGTCACTGGCAAACTTCTTCTGTGGTCACATGTGACTGGACGCTATGTCGTGCATCAGGCTGGTGTCTCCACTTTTGGCAGGGTGCTGCATAGCATATTGTGCCAGTGCTGCCACTTGTGGCAGAATGCCATGTGGCACATTGCGTGGTGCTGCCACTTGCACACACAATGGTGCAACATGCCATGCAGCCTCCTGCTATGAGTGGTGGCACCGGCAGGACAAGCCACATGGCATCTGGCTGCGAGCGGTGTGAGCAGCTGTAGAAGACAGGCAGCAGTGCGACAAGTGTTGAGGGGTGGGATGCATGGCTGTGGTGGTCCTAAGGTAAGCGGGTAAGACATCCCACGAAAATAAGACCTGGTGCTTATTTTGGGGCCCAAAAGAAAATAAGACCAGATCTTATTTTGGGGGCCCAAAAGATAATAAGACCAGATCTTATTTTGGGGGAAACATGGTATATTTTGAAATAAAACTTCCCACATATGCCATATAACATCTGGGTGAAAAAAATTGCTATAGACCCTTATGGCAGTAAACATATTCTTGCTTCCTTTGGAATAAAAGAAACTGTGTACAGCTTTAATAATATGATTATTAGCATTTTTGGAGGCAGGTTGAATTTGTTCACACCCAACTTTAGCGTGTTGAAACACTGTACATAAGATATCTAAAAGTTAAAACTTGGCCTCCAGTATTATTCTTTGCCATATCTCAGTCCCTTTTTAGGAGTGTGTGCAAATTAGCAGTACAGCCAAGTGAAACAGAGGCAGCCTGGAACAATAGCAAAGCCAAGTGAAGTCACAAGATTAACCTTTACTTTTGACAATAATGTTTTAATTTAGCGATACTGGATGGTGCTCTGGAATTGGTTTGTCATTGTGATGAAATGCAGAAAACTTTTACCAGGTATGTATCCTTAATCATACTGTTCAGAATTCATTCTGTGGAAGGAAACCAAGGAGTCTAGTCAGCCTGAATGCAAAATATTTAAAATCCCTCTTAAAATTCCTAGAACAATGCAAGAACTAAATATATCCTTGAAAATTGATGTGTTTTTTCCTGGAAGCATTCAATAATACAATGCTTATTAAAATCCTAAGGCAGGCCTGTCAAACTGGCGGTCTTGGCTGGATACGGCCCACACAGGCCATGCCCGGGCCTGTGCAGGCAATACCAGTGGTGGGTTCCTGCCAGTTCTAACCTCTTCTATAGAAGAGGTTCCACAAATTTACAGAGCCGTTTAGAACCGATTCCAGCTCCCCCCCCCCTGCCCGTCCTCACATCATCAAGATGAAGAGTGAGAGGAGGAATTCTGGGAGTTGAAGTCCACAAGTCTTAAAGCTGTCCAGTTTGAACACCCCTAGGGTTTTTTTTCTAAAGGGTTAGGAGTGCAAGGGTCTTGTGACTTGACAGCTTTAAGACTTGCGTGCTTCAAATGCCAGAGTTTCTGAGCCAACATTTTGATTGTTAAGCAAGAGCGTTGTTAAGTGAGTTTCACCACATTTTACAAGTTGGCCACACCCACCCAGTCACATGGCTGGAAAGCCACTCCCACTTGGTTACATGGCCAGCAAACCACTCCCACCCGGTCACATGGCTGGCAAGCCACTCCCACAAAGCAGGCCACACCTACAGAAGAGGTTCTAAAAAAATTTGAAACCCACCACTGGGCCATACCCACCACAGCTCCGCAAAGGCAAAAGACATCCTGATATGTTACAATACGGCCCACGATGTGATCGGGTTTGACACGCCTGCTCTTAAGTAAATGCCCTGTTTTGAGAAACAATAGTATCTTGGCAGCATTGTATAGTTCATATACAAGCATCAGCAACAATGTAGAAAAGAAGCTCTGCTACAAAAAGATGTCAAGGTCATGATCCAGTCTGGAAGGTGGGAATGCTCTCTAGGCAATGATCAGGGCTTTGGCATGTCTTTTCTAAGATCTCTTCTCAGATGGGCCAAGTCTCTTGATTGGTGGGACAAGATTATAGGTTGTCACA